ATTAATAAAGACTTATCAATATAAAAAGATAGGTCCATAACACCTATGGAGTCATTTAATGACCCAGATGACACAGTAAAATATATTTGCCTTAAAATACATTCTCTCAGTTATTTAATTGCATGGGCTATTTCTAGAAAATAGGTGGAAAATCATAGCATTATGAGAAAAGTGTAAATATTTGGAAATTGTGTGTGTATGTGTGTGTGTGTGTGTGTGTGTGTGTGTGGTTCTGGGATCAAATCCAGGGCCTTGCATATGCTAGGCAAGCACTCTCTCCACTGAGTTACACCCTCAGCAAGATTCTTGATAAATACTATATTATATATAAAATCAGTATTTAATATGTGTACTATGCATTGACCTTGAGTTTTTTCAGCACCATTATCCAGACATTTGAAATGTGTTAATGCCTAAAATAAACTTGTTTGAGCTATGCAAGTTTCAAGGGAAGACAAAATATAACGGTGTTTCTAAATAAGTAAAATCCCATTTTAGGGAGAATTATTATTAATATTGGTTTTCTTTCCATTATATTAGTCAGTTCTTCCATTGCTGGGCACAATAGCTGACACTTGGAGCTTAAACGAGGAGAGGCTTACTTGGCTCACAATTCCAGAGGTCTCAGTCCATGGTGAGCTCTAAGTCAGAAACCTTATGGTGGAATGGCATGGCAGAGCAAAGATCTTTCATTTTTGACAGCTGGGATGCAGAGCACAAGGGAAGACTGCCAAGGAACTCTTCCAAGGCACTCTATTAGTGACCAACTGGGCCACAACTCCTGATAGTACGTTCAACTATGAGAATCAGTGGATTAATCCACTCATCAGTATAGCACCCCATGATCCAGTCACCACTCTAGGTGTCTCTTAATCCAGGCAAGTTGACAATTAAGATTAACTGGCACTTCTGTTAAAAACATTTTTGACAACAAATTACATTTCTGTCTACATGCTGATATTGTTATTGGGCTTATTACTTCAATATGTGCACATTTAACTTGTTATTTTGAAGGCATTTTCCCAGCATAATCTCATTTTCCCTACAAGCATAATTTAAATTGTATATGATGTTGTGGTTAGAGGCTATAGTAATTTAAATTTTTCATTAATTTTGTTATCTTGTATTGTTATTTAAATCCATTTATTATTATCTATCTTTTAAATTCAGATCTTGTGAATTACATGTGTACTTTCATAGATAATTCAGTAAAATTTTAGAAATGTATATGTTTAAGCCTGTTCCGAAGATTCATTCTTGTTCTTGCTATAAATTTTAAAGCCAGTTTTCTAAATCGATAAATGAAAGTAGCTATAATTTTCTAACCCTGATTCTCAAACTTTGGGGTGCCTCAGAAATGTCTTGTTAAAAATAAGAGACATAGGTGTAGACTGGCATTATTTGTTAAGCAATTTTCAGAGGTGATTCTGTGGCATTTGAATTGTGAGATTCAATTCACTGCCAGATTTTTAAATCTCTCTTCTCAAGAACTTTGAGTTTATTACCTATCACTTCATTATATTTCTTGATAAATGGGCAAGAATCACACATGCTCTGAAAGCTCTTAGAAAAACTTTGATGAAGAAAACTTTTAATGTGAGCCTGTCTAGACCATTAGGATAGTTAATTATCCAACAATAACACCTGGAAGACAAGTGACTGACAAAATTAATAGAGAAAGTTTTATTAAAATTATTACTCTATTGCCTAAATTGATGACAACATGTAATTTTCTTCTTTGTAGCCCTCACTGTAATTTGCTTCATTTAGTTCAGTAAGAGGAACATTATATTTTTCTGTGATCACTGTATGAACTTCAAGAGAAGGTGCTTTTGTGTGTTGAGCAATTTATAATGCCAACCAAAAGGCATAACCTTAATAAGAAGAAACCAAAAGGTTAATTTCAATTATGATCATCTTTCCTGTGACCACTTGAGTTATCCTGCTCAGAACATAGAGTATACAAAATACACTCCTCCTACATATGCCAACCTCTCACAGGGATATCTTGCTCTTTAAATGTTCCAGTACTTAAAATAGATATTTCTAAAGATCAGCCTTATAATTCAGAATTCACAGTCCCAATTTTCTTGTATATATATTTTAAAAAGAAATTTCCTAAAAGAAGAATTCTCACTGTATATTTCTTCTGCCCCTGGTGTATCTCCTTGACCTCTGTACATGTCAAGAATTTGTTTCTTTATCTCTAAACCCAGGGAATCTTTAAGGACTAATAACAAATGGTCTGCTGTAAAGAGGAAGTTGATTTCAGAGGCTATAAGATTCTCAAGTAGAGGAATTCTTCTTGGGAATTCCTTAGGAAAACTTCTAAATCTGACCGTAATATTCTCCAGTTTAAAATCCCAATGTGATGCCCTCATTATATAGGATAAAATTCATGTTCCACAACACATTTTACCCTCTCCACGATCTTAACCTTCCTCTTTCTCTGGCCTCCTTTCAACATTCCTGTCTTCTCCCTGAAGTAAGGTCCTCATTAAACTGCCCGTATTTCCCTGCAGACTCCACTTTGTTTCTTTTCTTAGTGCTCATAGTCTTTGTACAATAAAAGTCTTCACTTACAATATTCTTCTTGCCTGCTTCTGGACACTACCTTCCTACATCCTCATTTTAAGTCTCACAGTTTGGAAAAGACATCGAACAGGAGCCTTCTTCATTCCTTAGGGTGTGTGAGGTGATACACACATGGTGTTTCCATGAAGTTCCAGCTGCTTTAATCTTCATCTTGCTACAGTACATTTAAGTTGTTATTTATTGTATTTCTCTCCTGTTATACTGACCTATTTAAGGATAGGAAATATATCTAATCCATCCTGGAAATTCCTAGATACAGGCTCATAAATGTCCCTTAATAAATATTAAAAGAAGGAAATGATTAGATATTCCTAAATTCTGGATATGGTATATGTAGAACATTAGGTGTCAACAAATATTTGTTTAATTAAGTACAATTGTATTAACAAGCTCTGTAATCATCAGAGTGTACAGGAAAGAAAAAATGTGGCGGCAGTTGTCAAACATGAAATTAAAGAAATGAATACTTTTCTTGTTCTGAAACTTTGTTTTAGGGTAAAGGCATTTTCCTTTTACAGTGCTTGATTTAGAAGTAATTTAATGTATGAGCAATACAGTTGTAGTTATATAGTGCATATAAAATTATTTGTACACTTAATGTCTTCCTTATTAGTTGAAATGGTCAATGACATCAATTTTATATTTCTGAGGTGCAGTACTCTTGACTTACAATGAGCAAATAAATGAGTGAATGAATAAAGAATGAATGGATGGATGGAAAAGTAAGTCAAGAGACTCATTTAAGATTTCTCATTTTTAATGGAAACTAAATCTATGTAAATAGGGAAGGGTGGAGGGGGTGAAGGGCACAAAGGTAATGGGGGAAAAACTAAGAACCAAGATACATCATGTACAGGTACAAGCACCCAATGATAAATGTAAACGTATTGTATACCTAAAATGTACCAATAAAGAAATTTAAGGAAAGAAAAAGATTTCTTACTTTTAAAATCTGGGTGTGGATAAAACCAGTTATCAGGAAAAGGTAATAATGATAAATAATAAAAATGTATTTATTTTAAAGGAAGTTCAGAACTCAAAATCAACAATTTCAACTATTTGTACAAAAGTCAGCTATAAAAGCAAGGAAATATTTATGTGTATACTAATCTACATAAAATGTGATTGAACAATATGGTGAATGTTTAATTTAAAATAATTTATTATAGTAAAAGACATATTGCCATTAATCTTCCTAAAAAATCATCTGCTTTTCAAACACACTTACCTTCTCATTCTTGACACTATCTGAATCAGTCCTGTAAGTCCTCTTTTGTGGCTTTTGTTGTGCTATCATGGCTGCCCCAATATCCTGAATTTATTTAAAATATTTATCTTTCATAGTTATTTTACCTTTGGGAAAGTGTCAGAAGTCACATGGTGTCAGATCCAGTGGATAACATGGATGAGGACACCCTTGATGTCTGAGTTTGACTTTCCATTGGCTGGCACTTAGCAGTAGCATTCACTGCATTTTTGATCCAACTTAATAAAGTTGCTCACAAAGGAGAATTTCCAAAACTGTTTCAGAAAGTGGCAAAAACAATGGGTAAATGTGTTAGAAGCAATAAGTAGTATTTTGAGGGAGATTAATGACAATGTATCTTTTACAGTGATTCAGTTTTAAACATTTATATGTTTACCATATATTTTGACCACCCCTTGTATACACACATACATCTATAAATATTTCTGTTTGCAAATAACCTTATGATATTAAGCAAAGTATGAGTTGATACTTATATTTCAACTCTGGCACAGTACCACATAGTCATTCTAGTCTCCTGTGCTTGTTTATATGTAACTTCTCATCATCTCTTTTGATTTATTTAACTGTTCATTTACATGTAATGGTTTTAGCATTGTTCCCATATTTGTATGTACCTCTGTGAGAACTAAATTTATCAACTAGACTACAGTTCTTAGATACAGATACTTTAGCATTTCTTTATTACCTTAAAAATTAACTATTCTAATAAGTGTACAATATTTTCTTATTGTTATTTTATTTGCTCTTCATTAGCAACAAATGATATTGAATATCTGTTCATGTACTTATTTATCATATTTACATATTTTGGTGAGACATCTGTTCAAATCTTTCACTCATTTTTAAATTGGATGGCTTATTCTTTATTGTTGAGTTCTGAGTTTCTTTTGTATATTCAAGAAATGAGTCCATCATAGATACAAATGTTGCAATTTCTTTCCAGCATTTGAGTTGGTTTTTCATTCTATTAACAATGTTGCTTTCAATTTCTATGGCAGGTGAAACAAATTATCACAAATGTTTAAAATAATAGAGATATATTCTGTTAAATTTCTAAAGATCAGAACACAATCAGTTTCACTGTGATGAAATAATGTGTTAGCAGGTGAACAGACTGCAAGAATCTGTTTCTCACCTTTTCCAGTTTCTAGCAGCTGTTGGAATTCCATGGAATGTGGCTACTTCATTCCTGTCTCTTCATCTGTAGCTACTCCATGTTCTCCTTTTCTGTCTCTGTAAACAGAATTTTCAACATATCTTTTATAGGGACATTTTTACTTGAATTTAGAACCTCTTAAAATAATCAAGATCCTTAATTTAGCCACATTTGCAAGTACCCTTTTTCTACATAAGGGCTTTTTCTATGTTTGGGTTTAAGAGATTAGGACTCTACATATTCATAAAGATATCAATTTATCTCTCATAATTGGATATCTTCATCTCTGATAATTTTCTTTGTTCTGAAGGAATCTTTATGAAATTAAATAGTTACTTTGCTTTGTTTTGAATAGGGATTACCATGAAATATTTCTCATTCCATTTTCTTTTAACCTACTAGAGTCTGTATTTAATGTCAATTTCTATTATCCATTTGCAAAATCTGTCTTTAATTAGTGTATTAAGATCACTCAAATTTTAAATAATTACTGATTTGGTTTGATAAATTCCTACAATGATTTCATTTTTCTTTGTTTCTCTTGTTCACCAAATATATTGTAACTATTGCTTCTTAAGGAGTTACATTTTGATTTATTCAGGATATAAACAGAACCTTACTATTATCTTCATGTATTTTTTTTTCTGTTGCTCTTTCCTTCTTAAATGGATCCAAGTTTCTGATCTGTATCATTTTTCTTTTGCCTGGAAAACTGCTTGTAATAATCCTTGCAGAGCAAGTGTGGTATTCCTTCTGATTACGTAGGAAAGTATTTCTCTTTCACTTTGGAAGACTAATTTTGCTTGATACAAGATTCTAGGTTGGTGAGCTTTCTTCTTTTATTGCCTAAATATTTCACTTTACTCTCTTCTTTCTTCCATGGTTTCTGGCCAGAAATCCACTGTGACTCATCTCTGTTCATGTACAGGTGAGATGTTTTGCTTACATAGTTTCACTGAAGAGTTTTTGTGTTCAGTGTTCTGCACTTCAAAATTATATGCAAAGATAGGATTTTGTTAGCCTACATTTTTAAAATTTTGATGCTGCATATTACTCTTTAAACTTCCTGTATCTGTGGCTTGTGGTTTCTCACTAATTTTTAATAGTTCTTGGCCTTTTGTAAATCAAGTATTTGTTTTTCTTTCTCTTCATGAGCTCTTTCTTCTCCATCTTGTACTCCAGTAGCATATGTGTCATAATTTTTGAAAATTTCCCTCAGTTCCTGAATGTTTTGTTTTATATTTTTATTGTTTTTTTATTTACATATCAGTTTTCTACTGATTTATTTTTAGGCTCACTGATTTTTTTTCCCCTTTGCCCATGTCTTGCTTACTAATGTAATCATCAAAGGCATTCTTCATTTCTGTTGCCGTGTTTTCTATTTCTCACATTTTCTTTTAATTCTTTCTTAGAGTTCTCATCTCTATGTTTACATTACTCAGCTGTTCTTACATATTCCTTACCTTTGCTACTAGAACTTTCAGCATTTTAATTAAAGTCATTTTACATTTTAGTCATATGTATAGTTTAGATGACTGCTTTGTTTCTTCATATTGTGGAGTATTTTTCTTGCTTTTTGATGTGACTTATAATTTTTGCTGAGTCTTAAATATGCATGATCTCTAGTATCATACAGAAAGAAAAAAATAAATAATAAAGTTGGATATGCTGTATTAGATACAGTGATTGATACAAATGTACTTTTCAAAGTGATGATTTATAGAACTCTGGTTAGGAATTGGACTAAATTTAATATGTGTGCTAGCATAGGTGTCTATAAATTACTCTAGCATTCTTTTTTTTTTAATCTCTCTTTCTTGACTTTGGCCTTCCTGAAGCATCCCCTTTTCAAAGAGATTCTATATCTTGTTTTCATTTATAATTATCACTAATATATTGGAGTTCTGATAGCATGGTGATAAGTTTTGCCAGAAAAGGACATTTCTAAAGTCTCATGATTATATATAGGCCATTTAGTGGGCTGTGTCATTTACAAGTGTTTTTACAGAGATGTAGCTTCCAACTCCTATCTCCTACAGATCCATTCCCAATCTGTTTCCTTGAAGCCCTGATCCCAACTGTCATTTTTGCCCCTATTCCTAAGGTAAGACAGAAAAGGTACAGGGGTGGAGCGAGGGAAATGACCTTTTCCACCTGAGCTAAAGCTAACAAATTATAGTTTCCTGGAAAATAGATATTCATTATGGAGAAGGCAGAGTATAATTCACAATTATTATTCTTATCTTCTCTCTGCCAGAGCCAGAGGGGGCCTCTCTCAGCTCTTCAACATGAGCACTAACTGGATTCCTTAGCCTACAGCAGATCTCTGAGATTGCAGTCTCCTGAGTTTCTCCTTTACAGACCACTATACACTCAGCCTCTAGAAATTCATCAAAATTGATATTTAAGTGTTTCTACCTATTTCTGGCCACAACTTTCTGTTCCAAATAACATTAACACAGATATGACTAGACATGCTTCTGCCTCTTCAGATTTCCAGGTGTTCTTTTATTTTGCAACTTCATTTTTCTGATGAGTCCAAGAAAAGTCACCTTTTATCTGTGTGCCCAGCTTTTTCTTATTCCTTGTTTTAAGACCAGATTAATAACTTAAAACTCTATATGTTGGAACTAAAATAGAAGCAAACCATTCCAGACCACTGTATTCTCATTTTTATTAATATTTTATAGATTTCTAATTAAGGACTAAAGTTTTCTAGTTATGTCCCTCCTGATCTCTTTGTCATCAAATTATTCCTCAATACTAAAAAAATTTTTTTTCTAGGTCTTATTATAACTTTAGCAATTATCTTCAATCAAGATTTTAAAGTTGTGTCAGATAAAGTAAAAACAAAGATTTGTACTCAAGTAAGGAGTCATGGATGGATATCTGTCCCTTGAGTGGGGTCATAGGAAGGCTGTATTCTAATCTAGTCCTTTCAAAATGTGTCTTAAGATCACCTATGACAAAATAACTTAGAGGTTTGTTCAGAATGAAGATTCCTATGAACAAATCATTCCCACTAAAAGAGAATCCTTGTGAGGCTTGAAAGTATGGATCTAATAAGATACCTAGGTGATGCATATATATATATATATATATATATATATATATATGCTAAATTTTTAGAACTGCTGCTTAAACCTTTATCATTAACTTTTGCTGTTACCTACAGTAAGTCAAGAAATATGCAAGCCTGCTTTGTCCTAGGAACCATTGCTCACTCAAGTATCATTCTACATAGCTAAATAATAAATATAAGCCAAATTATTATGGGCTGCATGAATCACAAACATAACACTTATTTTTAAAATCCTTTAATGTTTTAAAAATTCATCCCATAGAGCTGTTTATTTCTTCAACCAGGGCAGAAGTGTGAAAGCTTTCTTCACAGTTCTTCTAATTATACAATCACACTATCAACCATGTAGAATGAATCAATACTGCAGCACTGTTTCAGTACACAGCTTTGGAAGAAATACATTATGAAGTCAGGCCATACTGTCCATCTAAAAACAAAACTGAATCTAGACTGAAATGAAACTGAGCATCTCAAAATCAAATATAGAAGATATCCTACTTTTGTTCTCCTATCATCCTGAAAGAAAAAGATTTTAAATATATTTTCTTTACATATAATTGAAAAGTAACCACATGATCATCTCTTTATTTCATTAAAAAATATATGAATTTAAAATGAATGCTGGGAATTTTATATTTTTCATTCCATTTCAGGGACTTGAGTAGTAAGTAAAAACTGGGTCAAAATGTCCTCTTAGTCCTACTTTGTCTTTAATTTTTCTGTCCTGACCTACTTTTCCCTGTGATCAGTCAAGGATTATGACAGGAATAGTGTAAGAGTCAGTCAAGGTCAAGATGGAAGATCTTCAAAAGGATATAGTATAGATAGAACTTTGTTGAGGAATAGAATTTATGAATTGATGTAGCTCTCTTACTTTCTGGAAAGTCAGAAGACCTGGTTTATATGAACAGACTTCTATTTAAAATGGAAAAAAATCTAACAAGTTAAGTATTATCTGGTGTTTGAAATTTATCTCTAGCAGGTCCTTGAGGAACAACAAAGTTCCCACTTTAATGAGCTGGAATTGCAAGAATAGGAAGAAATTTCTGCAAGAAATTCTGGCAATAAAAAGCAAAAGATGATAGCAAATATGATATTTATATGATAATATGATTGTTTTCATTGTTCTACAGTTGAAATTTGGGGCATATGGAAAATTCTGCTTGTATAATAACAAAATAGGATCTGAGCATGGGAGAAATCCCTTTTGTAAAATGTGTAGAGTTATCAGGCAGTTATATATATTTGTGTCCATGCTAAAATTCACACTTATTAAGTGCTTGCTGCACATCTGTGCCAAATGCTAGTGATTTGTATTTTAATATTATGTTAAACAGCTACATTATCCCAGTGGAGTACAATATTATCATCATGACAATTTACACTTGGGAAAACTAAGATCTTTTGTAAAAAGGAAAAGGAACAAGACATGGAGTGAGAAGGGAAAGGAGATGAAAAAAAGAATTAATATGTGTTACATACATGTATCAACTCCCCACAATGAATGTAATCATTGTGTACTATACATATATACTACTAAAAAGTGAAAAGTCAGTACTTGGAACAGTAAAACATCAGAATTTAGATAATTTGGACTCTGATAGAATTCCCTTTAAGCTATCCCTCAATGAAGGTGGATCCTGTTCTCTGTCTGACCGATATAGTTTTCAGACCTTTATGTCTCTGAGGATTAATCATATTACTTTCAGAATAATCCCATCAACTGACTTGTTAACTTTGCTTTCTACTCTTTTATTTTCTTATTCAATATTAGCATTTTATAACAGAAATCTCTTTCAATTCTAAACTAATGTTCAATACATGATAATTCCCATTGATTTGAAAGTCACTATAGCTAGAATAACATAAAATTGGTAATTAATAGCAGTAGGGAGTCTTGAAATATTTTTGCTTCTGTGATATTGTTAAAAGGTTCTTTACCCTCTCCAACACACTTTATTAAATGCTGGGAGCATGCTAGTGAGGTCAATCTGATATAATTTGCATTATACATGGTTCAGGGGCAAGAGAATCTCATTAAATCTGTTCTTACATTATTATGAGTCTTATCAATGTAATCAGATAATTTAATATCAATGCCATAATCCAACATTGTTGGATTTGATAGAAAATCATGTTATTGTCCTTTTCTCTCTCTCCATCCCTCTTTCCCTTCCTTCTTGTCTTCCTCCCTCTCTCGCTCCCTCCCTTCTTCCCTCCCTCTTTTTTCCTTCCTTCCTTCCTTCCTTCTTTCTTCCTTCCTTCTCTCCCTTTTTTTTTAAAGGCTTATTGACTATCCACTGTGTGTCACACCAAGTTTGAGGTAAAGGCATACAACAACAAAGTAAAGTCCCAGATTTCATAGAACTTTCATTCTAATTAGATTTTGTAGTCTAGATTCTATTTATAAATAGAAACAATTTTTTAGTTAGATCACTGCTTTAAAACTTTGCATGACTAAAATAAAATGTATGAATGTTCTAATTATAATAATATCTTATTTTGAGATAAATCAAACTACAGAGTTGAGGGAAGTGAAGTCTATTCTGCTGCTCTTGTCCTCTGCTTTTGCCCTCGGACACAGCCTAATTTCTGGTCCTTTGTTGGTATCCTATAAATAGTTTTTGAATGGTATTTATATCAAATTTAAGCTTTAACTTAAAACTTTAAGTCTCTAACTTATATGGATATTTTCATTATGAAATTTGATGTAAGTGTCCAATTTATTGGATACTTATATCAAATATAAATTTGATACTTATATCAAATATTCCAGTTTGATACTCCAATTTATTGGATACTTATATTACTTTATTATATTCTTTTTCCTAATAAATAACACACTGTCCTAATACCATTTATTGTGCTTCCTGGCGTTTTTTTTAACCAAAGAAAAATGTCAATTTATTAGTCATGGGATTATAACATAATCATTACGTACCTTTCCGTCTTGTTGATTTGTTTATTCTTTTACAGGAATCATACTGTTAAACTAGCATCTTTATTTTTTACTTTTTATAACTTATTTTCTTGTTCCATTGTATTATCTGAAATTTTCAAGATAAACAGTGAAAAATTGAATGATAGTAGGTATGTTTGTTTTATTCATGAGTTTAAGATGTTTAGATCAGTGATTGTACTTTCTAATAGAGTAGCCACTAGCTACATGTGGTATTTACACTTATATTTAGGCTATTTGAAACAAATTAAAACTAAAACTTCAGTTTTTCAGTATCATTGGTCACATTTCAACTGGTAAACAACCATATTTGGCTAGTGTCACCACATTGGACTGTACAGAAAACATTGCTACCGTTGCTGTAAGTTCTATTGGACAATATTGCTGCAGATTTCACCATTTGGTGCAAATGGATAATTTTTACTCATGTTATAGGAAATATGTTTTGGAAAATGAAAGTTTATAGTTGGTACTGACAGTGGGGAAAATATATTAAATTTCATCAAATAAATTGACAAGTAACCTTTTTGGAAAATTCTCTTAAACTTGTTCTTCCAGTGGAGTTAATAAAAATATTTTCTCAATATTTGTTGCCAGGCTAGGTAGCACATGCCTTTAATCTCAACATTCAGAGGCCAGCTTGAGCTACATAGTGAGCTCAAGGCCAGCCTGAGCTATGTAGCGAGACCCTGCCCTCCTCCCAAATACTTATTGTTGCTTCCCTGGAATAGACAGAACTTGTTTATTCTATTTCATCCTGCTATATAAAATTTTCAAAGAAGTTTTTAGAATTTTCCCTTCAGTAACACATGCAACTGTAATTTCTTCTTTATATAACATTTCAAGTGTGCATACTTAACCATTTTTATCTTGAAAAATAATTCTGGGAGAATTTTATCTTTATTGCCCACCTCAAACATATCAAATACCTAAATAATAATTTATTCTAAAAATTTGGCTTGATATATATTTTAGGTGATTTTTAATGATTAATTGATACAAACATTTTTAAAACATTTTAGTCAATGTCACACCTTATACTTTCCTAGACAACTGTCATATTCATTGATATTTTTCAAATATATTTTTCTTATTTCTTGCAGTATGATGAGAATTAGAACCTGGCATACTGAGTGAGAACTAGGGAAGAACAGAATGAGGGCATGCATGGAACTAAGGACCCAAGTATTTCTAATCTCCCATGAAATTCATAATTTGAGAATTTAACCTACATTTCTCCTATAAACTATATATCATTTTTCAAATTTTGAAACTATTTTCAAACCTTCATTTAGGGAGGCAGTTTGATTTGAAATAAGGTAAGTTCTTAATAGCTATTTTATATTTTCTGCTCCTTGACTGATGCTGTTTGATCATCTCCTTGGTGTGTTGTAGTAGGCATTAAAAAAGGGAAGAGATTATAAGATCCAGTGTAATTATATGTACCTTATAAGTAAATACAGGATATAACCATCTTGTATTGCATCTGGGCTAGGGTGGGAATAAGGCAGTAGCTCTTCATGGAGAAGCTGGTACATAATAGGTATTTATCACTTTTGCTAAGTAGATGGGTAAAATCAGGGGATCTGGAATCATTAAAAAATATAT